ATAAAGAAGTTCTTGGCTTAGAAACAATTTATTCATTTATTAGTAAGTCTCTACTAATTTTACTGTGCTTTATGACTCTACAACCATTTCTCATTGGCTAATCAGTAAAGGTAACAGGAGAGGGAGGAGAAAGAAATACTGCCTCAGATTGAAATTAGATGCTTGTGTTTGCTTGCTGAACTAAAAGAGAAAAAAAATCAAGCAGTATCTGATGTGTTGGGACTTAAGTCAAATTTGGAGAACTTGCAAAAGGCTATGGCATGCATGTTTCAATGAATCCTCAAATAAGCAAAAATTGATACAGCTATATTAACACAGTAATGTTTAACTAATTTGAATAGATAATTAATGTGAGGTTTTTTTTTTACAGATTACAGAAACAGTTAACTATATTATAGCAGGTGCAGAAGTTTGGGCATCATTTCAGTGTCCCCTCTGGCAGAAATGACAGCTTCCAAAAGTTTCCTCTATCTTGTTAACAGTTTTCCTAATCTTGATTTCAAAAAACTTTCCTCTCTTCCTTTCAGAACTCTCTCATTTCTGATTTAGCGATATATTTTTTTTGCAAGTGTGAGATCTCCTGCAGATTTTCAGTAATATTCAGTTTTACGATGATGAAAGAGATGACCTTTACTTTTCTTTTGAGTATTTTATCATGGATTTGGGGTTTATGTTTCAGATTGGATATTTCTGCAAGACAACAAGCTTTTTTCAGCTGCAGTTTCTTTATTGACTACGGGACATTCAGTGCTAGATAATGTTGAATCCTTTCTTCCTTCCATTTGCACAATATTTATTGCCTGTGCAACTGTCTTCCACAAAATCTGAAAGGATATTTGCTGTTAATAGTTGCTAAAGTATTTCCCCCCCCCCCAATGCTTTACCCTTTTATCTCCAAATAGCCATACAGTTCAGTTTTGATTTCATTAGTCCAAACTACTTTGTTCCAAAATGTTTTCTGACTTATCAATATCTTATTTTGTATATTTTAGTATTTGGGGATTATGTCAGAGAAAAGATTTCAAGCTGCATCTTGCCTATACAGACCACTGCAGTATACATAACATATATTGCACACCTGTGGATAACTACTCCAGTGTCAGTTAAATATTTTAGTAGACCATTTAAAATAAACTGTGAGTTCTGCTTCACATATTGTACCAGTGTTTGGACAATTCTAACAGACATTTTTTTCTTCTAGATATTCCTACTATCATCAGCAGTTTCATGAAACTTTGAATTGTATTGAAATTCCTAGTTGGAAGAATTCACAGATTTTTAAAATATCCTTTTCCTGCTTTGTAAGAATTATTTTCATTTTCAAAAGCTGTTTAGAGGAGTCAAAGGATTGGTGAAGAACACAGAACAATTATAATAATCTGAGATGTTAGAAGGGTTAGAATATTTGTTCAATTTGTTAAATGCAAGCCTAACAAAGCCATAATCCTAAAAACTTTAATCTTAAAACAAATACCTATAATGGAAGAATGGTAAAGCTAGTAGAATTAGCAGAAATGACAGCCTTGACAAAAAGAAAAGACTTCGACAAATTTTATTTTTTCTTTGAAACCATTTTTAGGCTTTCTGCAAGAAAGTAAAAGAAATGAAAAGTTGATTTTGGGATCTGATGGTCAGAATTATATGGAATTATAGAAATAAAGCAGTCAAATGCTAATCTTAGTTTGATGTATTTTTTATTTATATTTTATACCAAAAAAAGTCAGAAGTCATTCTTTTTCTATTTTCTTTTTCCTGCCTTTTGTGCACTTTTCTTTATTCTTCTTCAAGCCTTTGGTTTTTAAAAAATCTTTTTTGTTTATTTTTTATCTTTGTAATTTTTTTTGAAAACCAATAAAGCTATGTAAATGTTAAAAAAGTAACTAGTACTGAATGAATTGAAAGGGTCCACAATTTTACACCTCAAATATCTGAATCTGTAAATAAGCATATTTAAATATTATGCATACAGATTTGCAGAAAATATCATTTTTAACTTTATAAAATTATATCAACTTCTGTTCACCGAAATACATACAATCTGAAAATGCCTAGGTTTTGTCTTGCAATTGTAAGTCAGCTGCTATCTTTCAACAGTAATTAAATTATCAACCAACTCTAAACACAAGAGTAAGTGTTCCCAAACTGTGTAATTTTACCGTTCAGTTAATAAGCCTTCTTTTATTCACAACCTTATTTTTACTATGGCTGTATTCATGCAACGAATTTAACCCTGAGGTATTGAATAAGTCATAGCTAACTGGATTCATACAATACACATATCTAAATTAACCAGCATTACAGATAAATGAAATACTCAAGGGCTTAGCATACTTAAAACCCTTCTCACAAAGTGTTCTCAGACAGTCAGACCAGTAAAAGCTTTGCCTACTTCTCTGGCAATTTTACACCCCTCCACCCCACCCCTTTGCTACCCACAATAAATTCAAAGAACGGCCTCCAGCTTCATAAAAGTTGCTTGCTATGACATATCTCATCCAATACAGAAAGATTTTGATTTAGTAAACCTCACCACAGGATGTGAAATGAGGGGAATAGTTTTTCTCTTTCAAAATATCTGCCCACTTAGCACCCTCTTAGCATTGTATATACACAAATAATTGGAAACAGCAAGGTCTGACCACAGTGGCATGGCAATTTCTCCCCCTTTTAGAACTGTTTTTATGCTCATTTCTCAAGGGAACACTGTGGTGTTTTTCAGACACTTATACACTTCAGACACTCTTTATTTACTTGCACACAGGATTGCATGAGAAGAGGAACTAGAGATAAAATGTTCTTCTTACAGACAGGTAATTGCAATAAGATGTCTGCAAATGGATATTTTGATCCCATTATTCAATGTTTCAGACTTAAGCTACTCAGTACATTCCTTTTTGAATTGTCAGAGAACATAGGAAAAGGCAAACAAAAAGGTAATTTAATCATGATTGTTAGGTGAAAAACAATAATTACTGTAATGAAAGACCTACTTAAAATGCAGCAATTTACTTATCACATGCCTAAACAGGATTAAGTGCTCAGAGAGATTTGAGAAAAGGTTACTAAATACCAATACTTTATTAGTAAATTCAGCCATATTTGTAGATTCTGATAAGATAATCTTTGATAATCCTCATGTTTATATGCCTTGATTGATAAATAAAATGTCTAATTCCCCTGGTGCTTCTATATTCAAAGTTTAAAATCTATGCTTGCTTCATATTTGTGTAAGAGAGAATGTAAATATTAGATCTATGCAATATATTCATGCATCTGTATCCAGTCTCCAAAAAAGCACTATGAAACACACTGTGAATGTAGCATCTGCCTACATAACAATCTTATGAAAATTCATTCTTTGGGATATTTTAGCTTTTTGAAACAACAAATGCTCAATTCAAAGTTTTTTTATGGATGACCTTAAACATTATGTTCATTTGGTTGTTATGCTATTTTAACTTTCATCAGCTGCCAGACCATGGCTGCAATATTACATTCTGTAAGGATGCTTCCTATATTTGGAACAAAAAATAAGCTTCACACTTCTTCATTTTAATAATAAGCAGGAGCTTTCAACAGAATTCATGCACTACTTCTCTGCTTACAGAATCTGAAGCAACACAGAACACAAATTAGGTTGTTTGAAAGCCAAGCTGAAAGCCAAGTTAATGTTATTGTTCACCATGATCTATCCTACACACAGGAGCATGTAATCAGTGTATATAAGTATCACATGAAATTTCCAGTGGCAAATTCCTTTTCCCCATTCTAATGTAATCTCAGATTGCGGCAGAACTTCCAGGCAATTGAGACTGATGGGAAGGACTATGCCTTCATCTTCCTACTTGTTATTGTTGCAGTACCTTTTTAAGAAAAGTGGTGGTTGCAAGCATTGGATGGCACCAGAAAGTCACAGGTCTTTTAGTAAATTGCCAAGGTCATTCCCACAATATATTTTTTCCATAAAAAACTACTTTTTAAGCATAAATATCAATTTGGTGTAGCGATTAAACTGCAGGCCTAGAAATCAGGAGGCTATGAGTTCTAGTCCTGTTTTAAGCATAAAAGTCACTTGGGTGATTTTGAGCCAATCGCTCTCTCAGCCCAACTAATCTCAAAGGGTTGTTGTGAGGGAAAATAGGAGGAGGAAGGATTATTATGTATTCAGTCTTACTTTTTGCAATCTTCCATAAAGGGTGCAATCTCCCGCATAAAATTTAGAAATGTTTATAGTTATTTGTAGTGTTTTAAAAGAAAATTCATGCTTAGAATATAAAACAAACATTGCAGATTAGAGTTTTCAGCCCCACTGGGACACTTTGACATCTTCCAATAATTCCCATGATATACCTACACAGTTTTAATACTGCCTTGGTTTTCCTTGCTGGTCCATGCTGAATTAAAAGGATGACATTCATACTGATGATGTACAATGAGTTTCTAGTGGTAGAACTGATTTTGTGGAAGCGTCAGTATAAGAAATTAGACTTGTTTAAAGGCAAACCTAAGAATGATTTCCCCCCCTTTCTATAGTGATTTTCACAGGGAAAAGTACCCAGTGGCATTCTTCTTCCTGCATATGTATGTATCTGTAATCCCCAATTATAATTCAGGGAGCAGGACAATTCAGAGATTTGAACTGTCTATAACATTTAATACTAAAACAAATATTTCACCAAATAGGTTTGCCATAATTTGCCAGTATAAAATATTTAAACTGCCCTGAGCCAAAAATATTGGCTGGTATATAAGCAGCATAATGCCTTATGCTAAAATATACAGTGATGTGTAAGTCAACATTTCAAAATTAGCTGTTTTGTATAAAAAACAGTTGCATAATATTGCAGAAAATTAAACAACCCAAATAGAATTGTTAGTCTGAATTTTATTAAATGCAAGTTACCAATAACATTAAATGTTGCAGACACTATTTTTCAAGTGAAATGAAATGGAAAAACTAAAAGGAGAGTTGGAAATTAAAAAAAAATATTTTACTGTACCTGGATCAATCTATCTGCCAAGGCAGCACTCTCCTACAGACCCAGAAGAGGGAGATCCAAGGAAGGAAAGATGAAGAAAAGAAAAAAAGATACAACAGCAGGGTCACACAAGCACAGAGGAAAAAAAAGATAAAGAGCCCAAAAGACCCCAAGAAAAGGAACTTCCAGAATTGTCTTAAATTTCCATCATGTCATTTCCATCATGCAGATCATAAGCATGTTCATGTGCATAAGGAATGACAGATAACTCTCAGAAGCAGCTTCACATATTAATTTTTCCTCAACACTGCAAGAACTATCAGGATTCATAATTTGCCTACTTCACCAATGGACAAGGATCTCATTGCATTTCAGAAGTCACACTTCCTTTGTCCAGAAATTCAAAGAAGCCTCAGTAACAAGGATACATTTAGGTGGTTATGTCTTTGTTGGGCAATTAACCAAGATGTCCTCAAATTAACTATTAAAAGTATTTATGCTACAATAAAAGACTTCCAAGGAGTTTTTACATTTTTCATGAAAGTGTTTAATATTTAAACAAAAAAAAGATCAGTGTAAGAATATAGCACAAGACGGCTGAAAAACAGTCATTATCAACCACAAGAGAAATAAATTACTTTGGGTCCATTTCACCATTTTGATCAAAGTTTTTTAGATTGGCAGAGAAACTACATCTAACAACTTTACAGATTAGGGTTTGTTTTTTTTAATCTTAAGGAATCCTGGCAGATCATCACTTTTTAATTATTTCCAGTAGTGATAGGGTGAGAAATACTCTCTTGGGTGCTTACATTAAGAATGATTCCAGAAATACATGTGCAGGGTAGTCCCTGAGAGGATGCACAAAGACTAATGGCTGGCATTCTGTGTATTGTCTACAGTCAATTGAGACAGAGAGCTGTGTAAGGCCTCATTTTTGGTGGCCAAGCTAGTCTGGAAGCGGAGGAAGTGGATTCTCATGCGGCTGGGTACACTTCTCACCTTCTCCAGGGTTTCAATTCGCTGTTTCAGAAGGCGATTCTCAGTACGGAGCCTCTGCAAGCAAGATTAGAATCAGCATGTGCTCTGTGTGTGAGCATGAGCTTTTGTCAAGTGAAAACCAGCATATCAAAATGTTATGCTGAAATCTTGACTCCTGAACTAAAGCCAAGCGTCATAAATAACTAGAAGAGGAAAAGTCACGCCACATCCAGATTGATGGATCTAAAGTTCAAAAAAGGGAATTCTTTAATTTCACACATATTACCCCAACAGAAATAAGTTGAATGTTTAAAATACATGCCCACTATAAATAACAAAGCTACTAATCAAGATGTCCAGGATGATATGAAGAGGAAATAATGTGACCTGAGAATTATTTAAGAAAGATTATTTTTCTGATAACACTGAGTATTACACATTACACCAACCCTTCATTTTGATTACAGTATCTCAAGACATAGACAAGAGGGGTCTTACCTTGATTTCAATCTGTTCTTCCATTTCCCGGTTTTTGATTGCAGTATACTCTTTCTCCAGTCTAGAAAACAAGAGAATAAGGTTCATTCTGCATCAAACATAATATGGTGACAGAAAAAGTATGGTAATGAGTAGAAAAATGCCCATTTTCTAATAACCTCCATTTTAACTTTTATTTAGAAAGTCACCACAAAAACTACATTTTATTTAGAAAGTCACCACAAAAACTACAGATTCAGCATATTTTTTCCTAACACATTTGATGTTCAGTTTTTGTTCAGGGAAACGCATCAAGATAAAAAGGATAACTATGTTCTCTTGTATATATTGACATGGAACATGAGCATTGTGTACTGGTCAACCACATGGATTTTGTCTAAATCCTGTATTCTTTAATATTTAAGCTACGTGTGAGGAATAAAAATTGAAAACATACCGTTTCATTTTCTTAGGGTTGTATTTGACTTGATAGGCCTTTAAGATCAGCTTATCAGGACAGCTATCAAACTGATGAGGAATCACCTTCTGAAAATACTGCAGTAGACAATTCTCAAATGAATATACATCGAGATCGTACGGTCTTATCATCAAATGTAATTTCTGACATTTTTATTGGACAGGTAATCCTCAACTTACAACCCATTCATTTAATAAAGAAGTTACAACATCTCTTATGACCCATTTTCACACTTACAACTGCTGCAGTTGGTGAACAAAATTTGGAATCTTAGCAACTGACATGTACTTATGACAGTTGCACTGTTCTGGGGTCATGTAATCATCATTTGTAACTTTCCCAGCCAACTTCCTACAAGCAAAGTCAGTGAGGGAAGCCAAATTCACTTAATAATTGCATGATTCACTAATAATTGCTTAATAATTGTAGCAAGAAAGGTCATAAAATGAAGCAAAACTCACATAACAACTGCCTTGCTTGGCAAAATAAATTTTGGGCTCAACTGTGGTTGTAAATCCAGGATTACAGGATCTTTCTTAGTTGATTACATTGGACAACAGAGGGATGGTTAATCTCTGGAATGCTTCTTGTGAAAATATTCTTCCCAACATGGCCCATTTGCATTAAACTAAAATTGAATGCACTGAATTCAAATATTTAATGATTGTGAATTAAAATTAAAGTCTAACACTATGATAGGGCAGTTTTTAGAATAGAATAGGTATAGAGGTATTACTGACCACATTTATTATAGCTCATTAAAATACTCTAAATCTGGATGCTTACATGAGCAAACACGCACAGTGAACAAGACATTTCAGAACAAAGCTTTTTACCAATTACAATCTTAAATCATGCCTATAGGATAACTCCCAGCTTCAAGGAAAACGTCTAGTATATTGCTAATACCTGGATAGAACACGTCTTGGCTAATATACGGTGTGCATTAGCTTATGCAGTCAGACCCTGATAGAATGCAGTGTTTTTAATCATAGAAATTAGAATGTATTTATATAAAGATAATCTCAGCTTTAATGCAATATAAAACATAAATCTTTTTGCCTAAATAATTCTTCATACAATGTAGAAATTTTCAATATTCCAATTTCATAAATTAGGGAGAAATAGCTTAATTAGACTTCAGTTTTTTCTTCATTCTCTAATTCTATGTTGCAATGAATAAAACATTTTTTTTCACAGCCAGTTTATTGAGTTGTATAATTAAAAAAACAAATATACAATATTGTAGGAAGGGAAGGAAGGTATCTTAGAAGTATTATACTTGTTTGAAGTAATTCGATATTTTTGAAGAAAAGCTTTCCCATATTCAATCTGATATATACAGACTAGATTTAGCTCAAAGTATTCACCTGTTAAGCACAAACAAACCAGAGGTGGGTTTCTGCTGGTTAGGCCCGGATTGGGCAAACCGGTAGTGGCAGCAGCGGGAGGCTCCGCCCACCCGCCCGGATGCTTCTGCACATGTGCAGAAGTGTCACGCGCACATGAATGAACTGGTAATTAAAAAATGGAAACCCATCACTGAAACAAACCCACGTGGCAATATCACAAATGGAAATGTTTTGCCTGGAGTTTTGAAATGTACTTGTTCAACTTTGTAAGTTACCAGTCATCTAGCTCAGGGATCCCTAATTCCTGGGGAACAGATTGTTACTGGTTCATGGTCTGTTAGGAACCAGGCTGCACTGCTGGAGGTGAGCAGCAGGCAAGCAAGCAAAGCTTGCAGCCCCAGCACTAGCATCACCATTCAGCTCCACCCTCAGATGATTAGGAATTAGATTCTCATAGGAGAATCAGTTTATAGCAAATCCTGCTGTAAACTGAACACCTGAGGGAGCTAGATTGCACACTCTCCCCCCACCCCCAAGGGTTGTGGAAAAATTGTCTTTTATGAAGCTGGTCCCTGGTGCCAAAGAGATTGGAGGCTTAGGTGAATTGGGAAATACCATATTTTTCAGAGTATAAGACACACTCCCCCCCCCCAAAAAAGAGGCTGAAAATTTGGGTACGTCTTATACTCCAAATATAGCTTTTTCAAAGCTTTTTTCAGCCCTAATGAGTGAAGCGATCTTCCATGCTTTGCCTGCTTTTCTCATTGTTCTATCTCCAATGATCAGCTATGCTTTAAAAACTGTTTTTATCCCCAACAAGCAAACTTATGTGCTGAAGCTGACCAGACTAAGGATGGTAGTCAGATGAATACCTGGTAGGCAGAATCCCCCCCTATTTTCCTCCCCATAAACTAAGGTGCATCTTATATTCTGAAAAATACGGTACATATGCAAAAGCCAGCCCATAATACTTGCCACTAAGTAACCTCTCACCTTACTCTCAAATACTTTCCACCCAACTAGTGAGCTGTTTTTTTTTAATAGCTGGAGAAACACATCTCTGGTTTCATTTCAAGAAAAGGAAATACTCACATGTATTTCAAATATTCTGTCAATTCTTTAGAACTATTTTAAAGGATGTAGACACAATATCTGTTTATATTATCAGAATGACAGCATATTCACTATACAATCACTCTTACATCTATTTTTTACATACACATATGGAATATGTGTAATCCCACTGGAATCCTCCTAAACCCTTTGATCACATTAGGAGAGGCAGTTTGTCATCCCACCATTTTGGGGAGGTTATGGCGAGGTTGGTGGGTGGGTGGGGAAGGGACATGTTCTCTAGTTGAACAGTGTTTCTGGATGGCCTCCCATGAGAAGTGCATTTAAGGGCTGACACCAGATGTTTTGTGAAATGTAGGCTTGTTTATTTGAGCTATTGGGCTTTTTATATATTCATTTTGATTTGTTACTGTTCTTTTAATTATTATTATGAGTTACCAAGAACTTATATATGATTACAGTGGGATATAAATGAGAGGGTGCAGTGTGTGTCTGAAAAACAAATACATGTATTTTGTTGGAATATTCCTTCCCATACTTGATTTTGTTCACCAGAGGCTTGGATCTGCCCACTGACTATTAGAGAGTCTCATGCTCTTCACTGACCAGTAGATCATCGCTGGGCAGCAAAAAGTAGTCAGGAGCCAGGAATCCTGTGAAGCTGCTCTTAGCAGATGGAGTGTATGGATCTTTGAAAGATACCTTGACCACATTCCACTCCCATGGACTCCTAATGTAGCCAAGATACGTTTTTGTTGTTGTAGCAAGAGTACTACTACAGGGAGATTATAAACATACTTCATTCTAAGCCATGGCTTGTTTTAACTGATTGGTGAAAGATGTGACTGAATTTTGAAAAAAAAAAGACTAGGTTAAAGCCACACAAATTGAATTATGGCTTGGCACAGTGCATGGGCTAAGCTCTTATGTCAGCATACGAAAGGCAATGGAGAAACACTATATTTGATAACTAATGTTGAAACCATCAAAAGGAGAGAACTCATAGCTCTCTCCCTATCTTCAACTCAGTGGATCTAAATTCATATGATTCTCAGGAATCACTGCCTGGTATCTACCATGTTTCCCTGAAAATATGACATGTCCATAAAATAAGGCCATGCCAGATTTTTGGGGTGAGCAAAAATATAGCCCTCCTGCAAAAATAAGCCCATTGGACAACCCTCCCCCCTCAAGCCAGGCAGAGCACCATTCACCGACCCAGCAGTATCCCGAGGTTGTCAAGCCACCGGAGCCTGAGGGGAACAGGCACTTGCATAGCTTGGCGCCTTCGGGATACCGCTCAGTCAGTGAGTGACACTGGAGAGGGGGTTTCTAGGCAGTTGCTCTCTTGCAAGCGGGCTCCCGAAGAGCCTGGCGAGAGGACTGGAGGATGCGGGCACGTCCTCAGGGGCTAACAGCTGTGTTGCACTGTCACAGCAGCGCAACACAGCAGCTGTGAGGTGACCACAATCACTACCTCCTGCAATCCCAAAAACAATAAGCCTCCTCCCGATAAAGAAAATAAAACCCTGTTTTATTTTCAGGGAAACATGGTAGAATAGATAATCCTTGACTTGCAATTGTTCATTTAATGACTGTTCAAAGTTATGATGGCCTCAGGGAAAAAAAACTGATTTACAACCTGTCCTCATACTTACAATCATCACACCACCTCCATGGTCATGTGACTGGAATTTGGGCATTTGGCCATGGCTCACATTTACAACCAGTTACATCATCCTGCTATCAAATTATTGTGATTTGCGACCTTCCTAGCTGGTTTCTGACAAAAAAATATCAATTGGGAAATCAGGTTTGATTGCATGGTGACTCATTTTATGATCACCACAACTTATGACAGAAATTCCAGTCCTAACTGTACCCCTAAATCAAAGATTACAGGCTTTTAGGCAGTTAATGGATGTTCTCAATATTTGGCATATTGATATACTGCCACAAAAAGATGGAAAAGACATAAGAGACTTTTTCTAAATAGAAGGAAGAACAAAACATACAGGCAGAGGGCAGATGAGTCATTGCTTCTTCATCTCTCTTGCTCTGGTCATTCTGGATGCCTCAGGCTGTAGTTCTGAAACTACTTTCTAGCTCTTTGTAGCCAGAGATTAAAACAGCTAATTCTGCCTCATCACATGCAACAACATTGAACAACAGTTCAGAAAACAGGCAGGTCTTGGGTCTTTTAAGTTTTTCTTCTCTGAAAACTGAATTGAGTTTTTACACTTTGGAACCATGATTCTAAAAGGCTTACATTTAGTATATTATTGGAATCGGTTTTTTTAAATCTCAATCTATCCTCAATCCTGTAAATCTCTTTATTCGTACACGCCTAAATATGGAATTGCGGACATCTGAAAGTTTGTTGTATCAATACTGAACAATCTTTCTTCTACTCCCACAATGCATGATAGAACTGACCTGCGACATCCCTTCCATGTCCAGTTGCATGAGTTCAGCTTGGTTGAATTGCAGAAGAGCCATTCCTACACGGAAAATTATTTCCAATCCCTAAAAGACGTTACAGAATTTAGATAGACTCCACCTGTAATTGAATTTCCTTTGGTTTACAATAAAGGTCAAACAGTCCTTCCTATGTAAAGGGAATTTAATGCTTTAGTCTCCCACCCACCCCGACTCAACTATCCACTTAACTATACACCATTTAAAATGTCCCATTTCTCCTTTAACAAGTTATAACAAGAATTCTAAAATAAATTTACAGAAGCAAATATTTATTTATTTATATCTCACCAAGCTGGTTTCATACATAAGGCACAACTAGAACTCACAATATTGCTAGAACATTCTGTAACAAATCAACCTGAACTATTTATTCAAATATAATTTTTGGAAATAGATGGATCCATGGACAATAAGAATAGCAATGACTACTACCTATGATTGCCTGCCGCCCTGCCCCCACTAGAAGTAAAAATAGAGTTTTATTGCCAGTGTACAGCAAGAGAAGAAAGCTGTTGCCCTCATATCCTATTTTTCCTGTGAAAATTTTAACTATCAAATCAGTTATGCAGACCACTCAATTTCTTCCCCTTCTGTATTTTTAATTGCAGATTTTACCTCATACATGAAGATGTCAAATACTCGTGTGGCCACAGGTAGAGGAAAAGTAGTGAGGAAGAGTGTAAGAAACCAAGATGATGCATACATAGAGGTGAGAAAGCTTTGGGAGCGGAAGTGGATATTCAGCTCAGGTAGTTGTTCCTGACAGAAACATAAAACTTAAGTCTTAAATTATGAGAAACTCCAGTTAACATTAATTACTACACAGACATTAAGAGATTACTCAGCAGAATCCTCAAAATTAAAGTAACAGATACAGCAGCAAACATTCCTAATTATTTGCTAAGCTAGTAAGCTCTGGTACTTCAGACTTCTGATGGGTTTTAGGAATTCATCTAAAATAAAGTAGTGCATATTTAAAATCCAGTATTTGGAAATTTCTTTACCTGCAGCATGTATTCAAACTGATAGATACAAAGTCCTAACTCGGCCATAGTGGGTTTGAATAATTCCCGTAGTCTATACTCTTGCATCAGCCGTACAAATACACAGAAGGCCTCCTCTTCCGGCATCTAGAAGCAGACAGTGCATGTGCATGAGTCTCTGTCAAACTTAATGAAGGACAAAAACATTCTGTTCAGTATGCAGCACTCAAAGCCTAGATTTTGTCTTACTAATTATGAATTCCATTTTTAAAAAGGGAAGTAAATAAAAGACCAAATAAAACACAAGGAAACAACTTTGATAACTCAAATTCTCAAAAAAATAATTAATAATAAAACAGATGTTTTTCACATAAGGGTTCTTTAACTGGGTCTGTGCTATGTCCTTTGAAACAGTGGTTCCCAACCCCTGGGCTGTGTGGCCTACTACTGGCCTTGGCCTATTTGGAATTAGGCCTGAATGGCTGGATGGAGCGCATATGGCTAGCTGGCAGGCACTTGCACAAAGCATGCTGGCCCGCTGCTTGTACAAGTTGAGCTGCGCATGTGCATGCTGGCCCACCACTCGTGCAAGGGCTGTTTGTGCACTTGCATGGCCCAGTTCCCCTTTCCCCCTCCAAACTGGACTGCCAAGTCACAAAGGTTGGGGACTAACAAAACGGTTGCTTCCATTGTTCAGCTCCAATATATAATAACCCAAGAAAACTTTTTTTAAAGCAATTTGATTATTTAATATGAATGGTTTTGAAAATAATAAGCATAAATATACATTGGAACTTAAGGAACACAACATCTTAAATAGGATGGAGATTAAGGAAGCAATATATGTGACTGTTTTTGTAATATTTTTATTAATGCTACATTCAGGTTATATAATAATGTAATAATAACTCATTGCAATCAATGCAATGCTTTTAAACCATTGTATTAAAATCAAGCGACTGATTTGACCTATTTATTGCATATACAACACTGCAATGTTTACACCATATATTGTGGTTTTATGTCTTTTTTTTTCACGCTGTCCTTGAAAAAGATACACATCCAAAACATAGCAGAATAATTTTCTACAAGGGCACTTGGCTTTTTTCCCTTAGTTTTGAGCACCTAACCGCTCTTGCTTGATGACTACATGAATACATAAGCACACAGTTTCTTGGCAACAATAGTAAAATGTCTTCCCACTGACTTTATCAGGGAAGTTTTTGTAGTTCCCAATTTATTGATAAGATGCACTGAAAGTCCAGCTCCTAAACCACTAATTTCCATTAATCCACTAATTTCAAAATAAATGCTGGCAATTATATTACAATTAATTCTATGTTATACTTTTTCTAGTATAGCCTGCTAAAAAAATAGGTGCCACCTACCACAAACTAACTATCTGTAATCTTCAAAATGGCATTTCACTTTGAGGAAAGGTCTAAAGCAGTGATTCCCAAAGTGGGCGGTACCGCACTCCGGGGAGCGGTGGGATGACTTAGGGGGTTGCTAAGAGGCAAGGGGGCGGCAGAGGGGCGCTAAGAGGCAAGGGGAGCGGCAGAGGGGGCGCTAAGAGGCAAGGGAGGTGGCAGAGGAAGAGGAAGGACACTTAGGGTGGTTTCTCAAACTGAGTTGCAATGTAATCTCATTGAAGGCTGAAATATAAGAGAGATTGTGGAAAAGGGATAAGCATTTCCAACATATACTGTTTTAAAAAAAGTAAATAAAAAAGTGGTCTAATTACTGTCTAAAGTTGGATATTGTCACATACAGGAAAAAGCAAAGCAAAGCAAAGCAAAGCAAAGCAAAATTATGATAGAACAACGTCCCATATTGGAAGAAAATGCTGTCGAAATGTTCCCAGTATGCCAAACAAGATGTTTTATAACCAAATGGAGTCAAAACTGCAGAGTTTTTTTTAATAAAGTGCCCTTCCTATCTTGATATTTATGCACAGTGAGACCTTTGTCACAGATAAGCCTGGATAATGGCA